GTCTAATCTTGAGATTATGAGCGCATGCACCAAGGTAGTGAGTGCCCCCGTGTTGAGATAGGGCCGCAGCCGGGCAATCCGCCAGAGGTGGAAAAAGGTGGTGCGGACTACCGACGCCACCTGCGTTTCCATGGTGAGTGTTGGGTCCAGATGTATGCCCAGGCTGCTGACCCCACTCTTCGCGGCCAGGGTCACCCCCCCAAACATGAGGGAGTTTCCCAAGCCACCATCCACAGGGCCACCCACCCTCAGAACTTCTGTCTTGTCCGGGTTCAGCCTCAGCCCGTTCTCCTGCATCCATTGCAGTACGGCCTCCAGGCAGCGCTGAAGGGTCAGGACGGCATCTCCTGCGGTAGGTGGAAAGGAGATGTAGAGCTGGGTGTCATCAGCATATTGGTGACACGAAGCCCCACATCCCCGGATGACCCCAGCCAGCGGCCTCATATAGATGTTAAACAGCATTGGGGAGATAGTTGACCCCAAGCTGCACTCTCTGGGAACGGCCCCCCAAGAAGGAACGGAGCCAGGCAAGAGCCAAGCCGCCGATGCCCAACTTGGAGAGCCTCCCCAGGAGGATACCGTGGTCGACGGTATCAAAGGCCGCCAAGATGTCAAGGAGGACCAGCAGAGACATTTTGCCCCTGTCGGCCTCCCTCAACAGGTCATCGTACAGGGCGACCAATGCCGTCTCTGTACCGTGGCGCAGCCTGAATTCCGACTGAAATGGATCCCGGGCGTCTGTTTCATCCAAGTGAGCTTGAAGCTGGTCGGCCACCACCTTCTCGACCACTTTGCTCATGAAAGAAACAATGGCGACGGGCCTGTAATTACCAATTTCGTCCGCCACCAAGTTCGGTTTCTTTCTTATGGGCCTAATGAGCGTCTCCTTGAGGGCAGAGGGAAACCTGCCCTCAAGGAAAGACTCATTTATTATTGCTGTGGCCCATTCTGTTGTTATCGGCCTGGCTGCTTTGATTAGCCAGGCCGGGCAAGGGTCCAAGGAGGAGGTGGTGGCACGACAGCGGTCAAGCGCCCTGGCCACAGAATCAGGCGTGACAGGCTGAAAGGAGTCGAAAGTCACCGGGCAAGACGGAGCGCTGGACGTCTCTGCTCGACTCACTGTATTCAGATAAGGAGAGAGCTCCCGCCGGATGGCCTCCACTTTAGATTTTAAAAAGTTCCGGAGAGGTCGCGCACTATACGGAAAAACTCCGCCTGCTGGTTGGACGCTTCGCTTATCCAGTTAGCGAAGAAAGATCGACATGCAGCCTTTACCTTATTTACCTTATTCAGGTAAAGGTTAGCTGCGACCTTAACAGCTATCCAATTATAATCCGTCGGGTTCTTCCTCCATCTACGCTCTAGCCTTCTCCTCCTGCGCTTCAGCGCTGCTCCCTTGCAACCGGGTGCTTCTCTCCGCTGTTCTTTTAAGGCCAGGAATTGACTTCCTTCAAAGAGAAACAAGGGGAAGTGTGCATGTCGGGTCAAGTTTGGCTCCCCTGAAGGCCTCCGCCTCTTCGGGGCTCTTCCTCCTGGTTTGTAGAGGGAGGGTCTTCCCTGACTGGTCTCCTCCCCAGACCCACCGCTTCCTCTGGCCTTATTCTTCATGCCTTCCGCCGGCTGCCGCTGCCACCCTCTTGGGGATGGGGATGGGG